GTTTCCTTTGTCCGATTTTGGAGTCCCCGGCAGGTAGTGGATAATGGGAGTGAAAACATCCTGTTAGGACATCGTGTGAAGTTAACATTATCTGGGTGGCAATACTCACCATGTTGATCATCTTGAAATACTTCATATAGCGTGGGTCCTGGGAGACAGTCATTGTGGGCGGAGCCTCTGGTGCTGGCTCAACTGCTGGCAGATTCTGCAGGGTTAAAATATGAAGGGAGGTAGTTCACTTAGTAATGGTTGTGACAGCAGTAACATACTTAACCCTAAAACACTAGAATTCAAGATTGAAAAGTTACCATTTCCAGCATTTGCAGTAAGTGCTTTTCAATCTACAGTAACATCTCTTATTAGGTGTTTTTTCCATCCAGAAAGAGTCACTTTTTTGCTATGATCACCAGGGATAGCGCATACTGTGTTAACTTGATTGCTCCTGGGGAGAGAGTTGGTACTTTACCTGTTCTTCCGAAGGAGGTAAGGCAGGTAAATTAGCAGCAGCAGCTGGTTCAGGTTCTGGGGTTGGTCCTGGAGCAGGTGTTGCCTCCACACTCACACCCTCAAGACCAGGAATGGATGCTAGCTGATGACAGAGACAGAGTGAAAAGACAGCAAAGGTTTCGCAGTGTCACCCAAGAAATCAAGCAAAATAATGTGGAAAACGTCAGAGTAACAGGAACTGAAAGTAACATATTAACACTTGCTGAGTTTAATATTGAAAGACAGAAACTTGCACTTAAATGTTAATGCAAATGAAATTTCTAGACAGCTTAAATATCTGCCCTGGGTTTGAGTACATCCTTTCCAGCCGTGAGCAGACAGGTTGGTGGGAAGTTTTCCAACCGGCTCATCAAAGTCCCCAGTGCATATGTGAAAATCATACATGTACATACAGAAACTGGTATGTATCCACAGTGTGTCTTGTGCCAAATGTGTAATGAAACCATTTACATACGCGGTGAGTTTCCACCAAAGGACCTTAGCTCAGGCATGTGAATGGGCATGAACAAAAAAACCTGAAAATATTTTGTGGTGAAATTAACATGGGTAGACTACTGCGAGCCCTTACAGTATGGGGTCTGGGGCCCACTTAAGGTTTTGTGGGAATCCGCGACATTAGTTCCTCGTACATTTCGAAGGGTCCCGAAACATTGTGTAAATTGAATCGTTTCAACGAACAAATTTCACAAAGTTTTAGGGAAGTTTTGAGCGCCGCGTGGTCAACTAACATTTATCCCCCTACAACTTGCCCCCCAAATTTTATTCCATTTTTACACTGAACTCGAAGACCACAAATTTGAAGGTGAAAAAAACGGAATTCCGGTTAAACCAGAAAGATTCCCATGTCTGTTAGATGCTATCACGCCCTCCCTCATTTCCACTGAGAGTGGATACTCCCACTAACGGGTACCTTATAGGGATTGATTTCCAATCATTTAAGAATTGATGTATTGGTTTCACTCACCTTTGCTTCAAGGATGTTCATTGTAACTTCAAGCCTTTGTATTCTGGTATTTAAGTCTGACAGTTTCTAAAGGGACAAAATGAAGGAAAATAATAAAAAGCAACTTTGACATGTGAATTTTTATGTTGATATGCATCTACGTGTTAAGATAAATGCCAATGAGGATGATCTCTGGGAGAGCGAAATGTGTGAGACAACAGAGGTCCACAGGTATTGCCCCAAGATGAGTACAGATAGAGCATCTGAGCTTGCTCATGCATGTGACTGTTGCCTGCCATGTGACCATACATGCTCACATGACAAGTAAGGTCAGGCCTTTGTTTACTAGCAATGCTAGTAAACAAAGACAGTGACATGATGTTGTAAACTCCTTTTATGAACTCTTCAATCTCAAGCATAAAAAAAGATCACCACTTGTTCTCCTGCATGTCTTTCAATGAACGTTCCCACATGGCTTATCATTTATTGATCCTTCTTCGAAATTTATTTTTTCCCCATGCTTTTCCCAAGGCTTGGTGGTATACAGTTTGTTGCCCCTCTGCTCACTTTTTGACAGCAGGGATGGGCCATGGGCTGATTAAAAAAAAAAAAAGAAGTGGGCAGAAAACAATCAATTTTGTGTAATTTTTCTCACATGTTCAAAACTGAACAGTGTACTTCATATCTAAAAAAGTCCAGCCTCCAATTTCATCAGAAAAACTGTAGACACAAATCTATGCCCTTGCATTTCCCATTGATACACTGTGCTGAAGACAGGACTAGCAGATGTCCACCGCAAGTCATTCATTCTCAAGGCAAGTAACAAGTTGTTTACATGAACTGTGCAAAAACCATTTCTCTGTCATTGTCCTGTAACTTGTCAAAGGACTTGTGATGGACTGACAACACCACTTTCACAGTTTCCAGATTGTTTAGTCCTGAATTTAAAATGTCAGAAATAGGCTTATGATACAGTATATATGGGGTAAACATACCTGCTCACAAACACAAGAAAATTTATTCAGGAATCTGGTAGTATGGGTGACAAAGTGGTTCAGGAATGCTAGCAATCGCTTAGGATGAATTGCTCCAACCTTCGAGAAAGAAAGAGAGAGGACACTCAAAATATAAATGGAGTTACTCTGCACTTTAATTATCTATTTATTGCCGTGATCCATGGCCCATGAGGCCACCGCACCCCCCCCATGAATGCATTCTACTATCCCGACAACTGTTTCCAGTGCTTGTAATGTGTTGTACAGCAAAACGCCTCGTCCATGTGATGCACCATATGAAATAAGAGACATGCTGTAGTTGGTGTCAACACACGATTCAGCCAATTAGAATTTTCTTTCATTCAAGAGTGAAAGGAAACTAAATAGAACGAGATGGGACCATGTTATAATTGGTGAAGCTGCTACAGGGCTGACAACGATGACCTTTCAACTGACATGACTGGGTGAGCTAGCAGGCAGCCGTAGACAGGTGGATGCTGCGTGGTTTGGGTAAGAAAAATTCTCGAAAATTTCACCATTTTAATGGTACAATGAAAATGAAACCCCACCATCCCTTACCAAACCATATCCCTGGAAACCTCATGAAACTAAAGGGGAAATTGGGGATTGTAAATTTGGGGACCCTGTTCCTATACTAGAAGGGACAGCTACAATGTACATGTAGGCCTACAAATTACGTTTTCAATTCTCTTTGGTAGATGACTGTGACATCATGCTCAAAACTTGTAGGGTTGATGTTGTCAAAAAAGAGCAGTGTTTTGAGTTTTTAGGGTAATTATGAGGGGGAACTGTGTTTTCACACAACATACATGTATGGTGGATTCAAATTTGCATGGTTAGTTTTTCAATAAGAAAGTCACATTTACTCACAATTTACAATTTGAAATTTCCAAAACGTAGGGTCAGTGCAATGAGGGTGTTGCCTTTGTTTTTTGGGGGGACTTACCAGTTTTGCAAGATTAAAATAACAAAAAATGGGGGGGGGGTTACACAAGTATATAATCCTCAGAAAATCGGTGTAACGGCATAAAAATTCCAATCAAAGTAGCACAATGTTGGATATGTGCTCTCTACATTGCTATCTGTAAGGTTTGTATAAACCTTAGGCCGATGGAATTTGATCTCATGGTTCTCGTCACCACCCACATGAAAATTTCTGCCCACATCAAAAAGTTCACCATTCATTTTTTTAAAAATGGCATCAAGATTGTTAGTCTAAAAACTGAACACATCTTGCAGATGACCCTTGGTGTATGGTAGGAAACTGGCATGATGCGAGCGCCCGAGGTCAAACTAATGCAATGTTTGGCAGCAGTTGAAATCCACACTGTTCAAATACCATACCTGGTACTTTGGATCATCCAATGGAGTGGTACCACGATTTTTCCAAAGCCTCAGTGATTCTCGCTGTCAATGTACTGTATGCATGAACAGCTGATGAAAGGAATTTATTTCTTCGATTTTTGATCAATAAATTACAGTTTAGGTAGAGGCTTTGCAGATACACCAGGTGGAAAATATCTCATTTGAGTATGTGTGGTTCTGAAAAGAACCGGTCACTTGATGTTTCGGACAATGAGTGCTTTGTCTGTCTTCAGGACTGATGTGGTGCAACTGTGCTGCTGCTTATATGCTGTGGGTGATCACTGAGGCGTGGGAATCGGCATCCAAGCTATCTGGGTACTGGGGCATGAAGGTGGGAACTGTACTGAGAGCTGCTCTGGCTGCTCACTGGCACGTGTCAGTTGGTGTTGGGGTGCTGGAGAAAGTGCTGGGTATTGGGGACTCATGTGGCACTGAATGTTAGGAGTCCGTGGGTATAGGGGACCGGTTGGACAGGAGGCAACGCCAAATATCATTAATGTTGTTGCCGATGTCTTGAAGGACCGTCTTGTTCTTAAAGATTTCAATGGCCTTGCAGATATGTCAGGACTACCATAGCTCGATGCTGGCAGTTGTTTGTCTTGTTGAGGCCTGTTGAATTTTAAAATTCTATTCTCTCTGCAATTCAAATCTTTTCTTTTTACAGACGAGAGCCTTTGAAATGAGTTCAACCTTTATGCTCAGTGTGAGTGTGATGAATTTTTAGGAAAATCCCTCGTCAAATTTGTGGAGAAATTTGCCGATGAAAGATGATGAAAAACCCTTATCATCAGTGATCACTTGCCAGAAGTGGCTGACAAGAACCTTTAAATCAATTTTCATCGGCCATAATGTGTGACCATAAGTAGTCGCCAGGTCCCTAAATTTGCCACCTATTGGCAAGATCTGATTGGTTTTCACAGTAAGTGGGGAAATCAGGGACCTTACAGTTCTGAAAGTAGGCCTACATGTAGGCCTATACACAGATACACATCCTAGACCATGTACACGTACATGTGGGACTATGAGACATGGTGGTAGACACTACATGTAGCTCTACTGAGTGGAGCGTTAGCATACCTCTTTTTCAATTTTGGACGGGATCGGTCATACTAACGCTCCATGACATTACATATAGTAAAGTGACAACGGCTCTCAAACATTCCAAAGACTCATCAAAAATACATGTACCTTTTTTCACCACCTACTGGCTTTCTGAAATGCCAAAGAAAAAATTTTGGGGCTTTAATATTTCTAACTTCAAAACCTGTCAAAATCTTACCTTTTTTGCTCTATCATTGTCTACACACGCACAACACTTTAACTTTTTGCCACCTTCTCCCATTCAAATACCCGTGTCTAGATTTTCCTGGCACAATAAAAAGTATGGATGAACATGGTCCTCCCAGATGCACGCATGCCTGGCCTACCGGTATACATGTACGTGGTCCAGGCATAAGACTTATTGATCGTGACGTTTGGGAGTGCTACCAATGACTGTTTTCTGGTCAATACGTCTTGCGCCCCGACTACATATGAGCCTCTGCTGCAGTTTCGTTAGAGAACCATGTTCCTTCATACGGGTAGGGACATGCATAAATGAGTGAGGGCACTGTTGCAATGTTGATTTGAGTATTCAGCTTCTTACCTAGGAAATTTTGATTAAAATTTGTCTTTTACCATGTTTACTGCACACCTTAGTTCCAATTTCATTTTTTTTGAAATTTCAAACGAAGCAAACATTTAATTCCTTGAAATAAGGCACGAACATGACAAATAAGATCAAAGATTTGATGAAAATATGGATTTAAGCTTTTCAGTCAAAATCCACAATGTGTCCACACTCATTTTTGTATACAAAAAATCACACTTGCTCTGCATTAAACATGTACCAAAAAAGTCCTAAAACATCTCAAAATATCCTTACTTTAAATCAGTATTTCTTTGTTTTGCAGAGTTTGATGCCTGATGAAAACCAAACTTATCAAGATGTTTCTTTTTTTAACAATGTTTGAATCCTCTCCAACTCCAAGATCACATCAAAAAGAAAACAAAAAATAGTTCACAAATTTATTATCCTCCCTAAATTAGGTTTGCTGATACTTTGATTTAATAGCTTCCTTACACTGGTACTGTGAACCATTTCACCACAAAAGGCGCAAAGTGACGAGTGTGAATGACGGAACGAGTGACTTTGAGACATGTTCCTGATGTTTGAGTTCTTGAAGTGCGAACGGCATGAACGGGACCAAGTTTTCCAAGCTATCATGCACAATTAAGACATGATTATTTAGACCTACATGTACCTTCGTAAGATCCACCCCAGGACCAACTAGTGGCAAGCCATCGGCGTCCATTCTCAGCGAAGATTTGAAATTTCTCTGGATTTATCTTGATAAATTTAGTTGATCGGCCAGTGTCGATGGTTCGATCGCACGATAACACGAAATAGGGCCTACAGGCGTAATGATTCCCAGACGCGTGTGAGCGTTTTAAGAATGACAATCAGTCATAACATCAGGGTATCCGACTACGACAGAAACGGGTGTTACCTCTTTCTCAAAATGTCAAGCGGTACGCTCCCATATATGGAAACCAAGAACACACTGGGGACAAGTTAGGGCCGTTTTCCAATACTCGACTTGGGCTCCGTTTCAGGCTTCAACTGTTTTTTTTACTTCCTGACTTTGAGGTTGTAAGCGCAATAGTAAGTCTGATAGTGCCACAAAGCATCAAGTAAGACGCAAAAGAGCCAAAAATTACGGTATTTTAATTTAAGTTAAATGTTTCAGGCCCAAAATCGAGGATTGGTTTCTACATGAAGCCTGCGACGGCGACGAATTGAGTGTTGGAAAACGGCTTAGGTATCGTTGAATAAAGTTACGGAGTACAAAAGGGACACGCTTATTATTGTCCTCGTTTTAGGTTACTTTCTAAAACAAATTAAGAAAAACAAAGGTGTGTATGTTACAAGATTGGGATCGATATTCATACCTTTAGTCATTAGCTATTATGTTTATTTGATTTAAACATAGTTTGAAGAAGTGTTCACTCATGACTTTGTTTGATGATTGCATGGGTATTTGTGGCCTCCGTACCATGCCAGTTGCAACGTGACTTCTTGAAAATAATGACGTTACGCACGTTGTTTTTCACGCGTTATGCAAGCTGATATTGAGCAAACTGAGTATTGTGTCCCAAGTACGAACAATTCACGAGTGGATCCAGTGAGAGTTTCGAAGTTCAAAACTACGAGCATGATTCTTTGCAGAAAGAGGTCACAAGTACAAATAAAGGAGGAAACAATTATCCACCCCTGAATTTCCATTTTCATTCGTACAAAAGACATGCGCGCGCATAATGGAGCAAATGATGAGGAATGAAGGTGCCCACTGGAGAAGCAAAACTTCAACAATTTGTGAAAAAGGTTTTGGTTGCAGTTCCTCAAAAATATTGCTAGTGGTGTTGTTACTGGTGCCAGTGGACCTATGATAAAAAATTTGGAAAAGAACTGTGTTAAATTTAACTGGTTTGTTTGTGTAACTGAAGCAGGGCGGGGACTATTCCATGCTTTGATTTTACGGGGAAAGAATGAATTTTTGTACACTTCCGGTAATGGACGTAAACCCCCCGAGGATGGGGGTGTAAACTGCGCCCCTTTTGAGGTGAGAGGATGGGCTATGAATCATTCCCGCACCTTCTGGTGATGAGGAAAACATTTCAAGTAGATTGTAAAGAATTTATAGTATTTTCCAATGGCAAAAATGTTTGCAGTATCACTAAAAAGGGAAAGAATTTACTTTAAAAAGCTATAAGTATGCTATTCTGATATAAGATTCTGAATGAATCTGATACACATTACAGATGTACATCTTTTCATGAACATCGCCCCTCACCCCGATTTTTAAATTTCCATGGCCGGCAAGTTATCCCCTCCCACCTCTCCGCACTGATTCCCCATCCTCAATTTCTAACAGATTTACGCTACTGCTTCCTATCGCGAGTTTGTGGCTAATAGGCTGAGTTAATGGCTTGAGTGCCCGTGGGTTTTGGCTTGGTGTGGGCTTGATCTACTATGATGTTGAGTTTTCCACGCAGCATTTCGTAGAACTTAGTCAAGTCCTCGGGCTAAGCTTCTGTCCTGACTCAGGGTGCTCTATTCAAGTGAACTTAGGAGTTTCAAGTTGGTATCACTTCCCTTTTGTAGGTGTTGGTCACAAATCAGGCATGCAGCCTGTCTCTGAGCTTTCTCGATGGAATTAGTACCTTTAACTGAGAACAGATCCCACGCTGCAGTTGCGTAATCTTAATGTGGCCTTAAACGAGGGTGAGATACAAGTTGCAAGTCCAGTGCTCTCTCAAGAAAGGTGGATATGCCATTCTTTCAATTCCTTTAAAAGGGTACATCAGGATTTTGAACGGACTAGGCCTATCCCTCACCCACTGGATACGCAACATTTTTCTACCTCTTGTAAAAAAAGCTGTATAAATCTTGCCCACCTATGGCGAGGAAGGGATAAGAAAGAAGAGGTAACTTTGGTTGGATCAACAATATCAATTTTGATGAACGTGACAAATTTAACAACATACTGCAAAACTGACGTTTCTTTTCTTTAAACCCGGTGGGCCTTCTCATGTTCGGGCGCGGGGATCGCGGGAAGGGGTAACTGAAATCGGATCGTTCGCAATCGGGCACATTTCAAGAGCTCCCACCGCGCCCGCGCACCGCTGCATTCATTCGTAACAGGTTGTGCTTCTTGTTGCTGTGTCAGTCGGAAAGCCCTTTAGGATGGTCGATATTTTGTCGTAAATCAGCGCAAACTACCGATTATCTTCGTTGATAATGTCTCCCTACGGATAAAAGAGCTTCTTCTATCTAGAAGGCGCTCAGTTTACCACGGAATATCCCTCAACATCCGACCAAGAAATGGGGAAAAGGAAACGAAGTCGTGGTAGTTCGCGTCGAGGAGTGTCATTGGTTCACTGGTTCAGGAACAAGGGACTTCGCTTGCATGACAACCCTGCTTTACGAGAGGCTCTGGTGGGTGCTAAAACCTTCCGATGTGTGTACATCTTGGATCCTTGGTTTGCTAGATCACCCAACCAGGGTGTCAATAAGTGGAGGTAGGAAATGTTTGTTTAATGATCAAGCCCCACCAAAATTACACAAATTTGCCTAACTTGCCCCCTGACTGAGTCGCCCCTAACAAGTTACAGACTCATCGACTGTCCCCCTCATCATGCTCAGCAGTGGGGCGGGAGTGCTCAGGTTGGGATTATGTTAGAATTTGTGATTTCTCCATTGGCACAACCATTAACAATTTGATAACACATGAAATTTGTCATTTTCAAACTTTTTGAGCAATCGGTGGCACTTGCATTGAGGAAAATGAAATTCATATTAAGCCTAAATGGAAAGAAATTTTACTTTTTCATGTTTTTATTTGTTATTTACCAATTTCTGACTTTGTCAAGGGTTGTGGGAAAGACTAGTTGTAGTACAGTGGAACGCCGCTATAGGGAACACCGCTATACCGAACATTCAGCTGTACCAAACATCGTCCTTGGCGCCCAATAATTTGTGCACAGAAGCTACTTAACACTATTCAGTTGCCGTTTGATAAAACAGTTGGTGTTTTTTTCTGTTGGTAAGTGACAAGTGGCCATTATTTCCCCAAGGATTAGAAGGGAAAGTCTCTAGTTGTCAATGGTATTGAATAGACACTGGTTTTGCGACTCCACATGATTGGGTGCGGAAGAAAACCGCACGTACACGCACGGTGGCATTGCACTAACAGTAGTCTAAAGAGGGCACCGCTGATACACAAATCAACCGAGATTCGCCACAGCATGCATCAGAGATCGATCCTGAGCGGTAGTTTCACGACTTTTAGGATAAACTTGATATCAATTTTTTTGACTCAAGTTAAATAAAAAACAAAAATAATTAACAGATACATTTCTAGAAACCTTAAACTTGAATGCAACGGCAAAACATCACGAAAACAGTGAACCAAGGTATCACAAGAGGGTGCAGTTGGTTAGACAAGAGACTCAACATGGCAACGAAATGTTTGGCAGTTAAATTTGCTATACTGAATGACCGCTGTTCCGAACATTTAGCGTGGACCTTGTCTTGTTCGTTATCGTGGCGTTCCACTGTAGTACTAGTCCGTTTAAACCACTCCCCAGATAGACAAATTCCAATTGATAAATGATGTATACAATACAAACCAGGGTTGAGATTTCTCAGCTTTTTAGCTTATTTCAGCTTTTTTTGTTTTGGATTTCAGCTTTTTTTTCCTCACTGGCTGTGTACAAAAGTATAGGAGATTTTCACAGCTCAGCTTCTTTATCATATGCCTTTTTTCAGCTACCGGTATTTTTATCATTGTTCAATCTCATCCTAGGACTAGTATCTCATCCTAGTAGGCCTAGGACTTCTTATATAGTTATGTGTTTAGTTGATTTATGGTGGTGCCTGAAAGGTTCAGATTTTTGGCTTTTCTGTCTCTTTAAGCCTGACAATGTATGAAACGTGTTTATTATGTATGAGTTGACCTGACACCCTGACGAGCTAGAAATGATCATGACTATAAGTTAGATTTGTTTGCATATTGAAGTTGAAAGAACAGTGAGGGAAACAGTGTTTTGGACAGTATGCTCTCTGCACAAATGGGAATGGCTACATGACTTGTACTACAAGTACTAAAACATGTAAAATGGCTACATCATACATGTACATGTACGTATCCCTGGTATGTTCATGTACATGTACTTTAAATGAACTGAAGGCTCATTTAAATACTTTTAATCTATTGTGTGGTAATGCCTGACCTCAGGAAGGAGTATGGCAAGGTTTGCAGGTCTGTGTTTCGTTTAAATGTACAATACATGCATATACATACAGTACACCAACATTCGTCAAGAAACTCATGATTTTACCATTATTTCTTTGGATGCCAAATGTCAATCTATAGCAGAGAATAATGTTCAGAAAGAGTTCAGAAATGTTCCTCACTTGATACATGTACCTTTGTGCACAGACTTTGTGAGACTGTTTTTTTTCTAAGTAAAGGATTCAAAATTTTCCCTGCTAAGACCTCTTACCTAATGTCAAACAAACTGACCACAGTACTTACACAATTCGCAACATGTAAAGTTAGTTCACCTACAATAATTGCATAATACAATATATATACAGTATATATACCAAGACTTCAGCTACAAGTATTCAGAACTACATGTACAGTACATGTGGGGGAAACTTGCAGGCATTCTTCTGGTGATTATTCACCTTTTGTAGCCTGTTTTAAGAAAATTCAGTGCAAATTAGGACCTAATAAAATTCATGTTGGTTGTGCCTACATGTACATGTACCTGTCAGTATTCAAAATTGTATCCCAGACAGTACAGGAAGTAAAAATGGTTTGTTGATTGAATACAGATGGGCTTACACTTATTGGGACTTTTCCCCCCACCGTTTGACATACGGTATTGCTGTGTGAGTCCTTCATTTTTAATGAAGCTTAGCTTTATAACTGGCTGAAAATGTACAGTACTTCTGAAATTATCCACCTGCTGCCTTGCGAGACATGCGTACATGTACATGTGGTACATGTACATGTGGTACATGTACATGTACTTGTTTTATATACAGATTTCAGGATGGGTCATATCACGTATTACTTATTAATAATGCATGTATGACATATCGCATGAACATGTCTGCATACCGTACATGTACAGAGTACCAGTACCGGTATATATAAAATACATTTGATTTGCTTTGTTAAAGATTCAACAATCTTACACAAACAAATTTTATGTATCTTGTGTTATTTCATGAAGAGTCTTTTAAAGCTGTAAACAATGTCATGGTAAGAGTGTAAAGCTCTCAGGGTGTGTAGACTTTATACATAACATGTACATCCATGACATATAACCAGATGCTGGGGATGAACGTAACAATTTTTGTGATTGTCATTTTCTGCTTTCCTCAGGGTACAATGAATTCAGCGACCCTAAAGATAATTGATCAGTTCCATGATAAATCATTGCAACTCCTGAAGGGAATAGGGACAGACAGATGATGTATATTTACATGTATTTTGCTAATGAAGTTTTGATGTTTCTCCTAACGGACCTTTGGTTTTAGGATATTTATTGCTACATCTGCTGTACTTTATATTTTTGTTTTCAGGATTGCAATGTCTTTGAGTAACCGTAGAGATTAGAAAAGCTCATTAAAACCTCAAAAAGTCATGGAGTCATTGTGAAAAAAACCCAAAATGTATGAATTGTTGAATATGATTATTTACAAAAAACATATAGATTCTCAGCATTATCTACTTATTATTATTTGGATTTTGTGCATATACTGTAAATGTACATGGGGAAATTTCAGCTGCAAAATTGAAATTTAAGTATTTAATCCCGCAAAGTTGATTAGACTTTATGGAATAGTACATGTGCATGTATGTTTCATTTTACTTTCAGTGTGTTGTCCATATCTACATGTACATGGTACATAGAAGTAAACTAGATACAAGTATGTTTGCCGTAGCACCATGGATATATCTCTTTTTTGAGTTTGTGGTGTTCTGTAAAGAACTGGTTATACATCTGTACATTATAGAAGTCAAAGAAATAACCATAACCGAAATTACCATATCCCATAATTCTTAAACTCTGCACATTTGTGTAATTTTTGTAAGGTACATGTACATGTAAATGTCCATTAATTGACCCAACTGATATGAATGAAATAATAAGGAAAGTTAACACATCAATTAATATACTGTATCTCTGCAACATTTAGAAGTTTGCCATGTTGTTCTTTATAAGGTTGTTCAATTTCATACATGTTGGTGTAAGGGTGAAACCCATGATTAAAATTAACATCCCCCCGACGGAAAAAAATTATGCCAGGGCAAAACCTGTGATTGAAATTAACATTTTTTGGCTGAAAAATCGTCTTGAAATGGTTTTGCGGTACCCACTGTGTCTGTACATCTGACTCGGACAGGCCAGCCGGCCTTGGCAAGCTCAGTGGTCAATGGGTTATGACGTCTGCACTAGTAAGCAGGAGGTGTGGGTTCGAGTCCCACCCGAGTAATCTTGTGAATTTTTTCACGAGCTCTTCAACGAGCACTGATTATACACATACGTCAGTGTAAGGGCAAAACCTGTGATTAAAATTAACATCTCCCCAACAAAATCATCTTGAAACAATTTCGTGTCATTTCTCTTGTGCAGATTCCTGCTTCAGTGCTTGGAAGATCTTGATTCAAGTCTCCGCAAACTTAACTCTCGACTGTTCCTTGTCCGTGGCCAGCCTTCTGATGTATTTCCCAAACTTTTCAAGGTACTGGTACCTGTGTATTGTAAACCTCCATACATGTACACATAAAGCACATGTACATGTACGTGTAAAGCACATGTACCGGTACAGTACATGTACGTGAGATGTAGTACAATGTATCTGTTTGT